TCGAATAATCGAATATTCTGGTCCAGCCCTAGTAACACTATATTTTAAAGTGTCCTTGTTACACTTGTTACATGTACTGTACTTACTATGGTGATAACAGTAAATGTAACATAATTACAAAAAACTAACCCTAAACCAAACCCTATAGTAAGCACAAGTAAATTAAGGTTACACTTTATTTTAAGGTGTCCTTGTTACAGTGTAATTATACATATAAGTACTGAGTAATATTAATTAACTACATGTACTTACTATATGGTTAGGGTAAGGATTTGGTTTGGTTTAGGGTTACTTGCATGTAATTATGCATAATTAATTGTTATTACAATAGTAAGTACATGTAACGTGTAACAAGGACACCTTAAAATAAAGTGTTACCAAAAAATATGTATTTATTAAACGTGCGCACGTGTGTGTGTGATGTTATAATAATGTAATTGGCAAATAAATGTACAGTTACAATTTTTGTTACAATATAATCAATATAATATTTTTTTCCATTAACACGTGAGTTAATGGCAGATGTGATTTTAAACATATTGTAAGAGCAGTGATGTTCATCTCTAACTATTAAAGATCTGACAGAAGGCTGACTTGCACAATCCATTTACAATGACAGTGAATATTTTATTGCTTTTGATGGCTCATTTTGCTATTATTTAAGGTTCACAGTCTTGACCCATTAAAACAAAAGAACTGAGTGTATTAGGCTTTCACTGTTATCACTCTACAAACAATGTCATATTTACATTATGCACCACTAGCTCAGTGCCCTTACAACAAAAATATCTTCAGCAGCATGGCTTACAGATTTGCCAGGCCCAATGTATCTCCTTCGTAAAACCCTTGATCTAAGCTGTACAACAATACTGTGGTGTAATATTACATGTGCTATCATCAGGACCCTTTTGTATGTGCACTTTGTTTTTACAAATAGACAAAGGTATAACAAATGATGTATGGCTTTTTACTGCAGTTTCTCTTGACCCATTCTAGTTTTTGACTCAATATTTGATGTAAACATCAACACTCTATCAAAAACTACCTCAGATACAAAGACGACGGTGGACACATTGTTTTTCTGAAGCAACACAAGGTGGAAGGGAGGAAGCTAAATTAGGCCAAACTCTAAATATTTCACAAGCTCTCATCCATTATTGACCAATGGTTTCGCCCAGCCAGGCAGATTAGAAATCAAATCTCTCTCCAGTCAACCATCAGTTCCCTCAATTCTTCGAGCACATTCACACGCTAAGAACCAAGAAATCGTCTGCTGCATGATGACATTATTGAAAAATTGCATAATGTAAAAATGGCATTTACAAAGGAGTACTACAATATCCAAATTCCAATTTAAAATAATATTCTTAATATGTTTAACCCATCTGTAACATTCTAGAGCACACTATAGGATAAAAAGGAAAAATAATAATAAAGTGGCGACCAGGACTAGTTTAATCACTTTTGTATTCTTACCATTTTTATACAGTTCATTTTTTTCAAGTCAACAGGCACATACATTTAAGTCTTGGCTGCAAAAACAATTACTGCCCATGAAAAAGGAACAGTTCTTAAAAAAACTAGGCCTGTCGCAATAATCAATATAACGACTTGTCGCGCAATATATGTACATGACCTCAATAATTTTTGGTGACGCAATATATCGCCCATTATATTTACTTAAAAATTAATGTCACCATGTTTTGTACATTCCACTTGCGCCTGTGTCTTTTGCAGCTTCTCGTACATAACGTGGTGTAGTCATGTGGTGCTAGTTCACATTTAAAAAATGCTTCTACAAAAAAAA